TTTTTTTTTTTTTTTTTTTTTTTGTACAGTTTGACCTCACAAGAAAAATCTCAGTATTCGAAGGGGCTTCGTATTGAGATTGAAAGATGTTTTGTTCTTGTTGTCCTTATTTTTCCTTTATTATGGTTCCTGAAAATTCCCTGAGCTAGTACTGTGACTGGAAAGAGTTTCATAGTGCCTATTGTTTGCCCGTCTTTGATCACTTGATTTTCCTGAATCCCACATTTTATTTTTTCTCACTTGGTTCGTGTTGGAGGTGGTCCTGATTTCCAAACCTTGTCAGAATTCATCCAAGCAAAGAAAGGTCTTTGTAGACCAAAATCAGGTTGTCTTAAGCAGCTTAGGAAATATGTTTATTCCTTAGAATATAAAACTATTTTAGCAGAAGCCCAATGCCCCAGGGCCGGTTAGGCAATGAAACAACTCATTTTAATCACAAGCTCAGTGAGCTACTTAAGACTGCATGCCTGAGAGAGTGTGTTTGTGTTTGTGTTTGTTTTACTGTTACCCACCATGCACAATTAAAGCAGCTCTAGAAACAAAATGTCTTGCCTGTTTCTAGAGCAGCTACAGATGTCCCAGCTTTCCTATCAAATGAGTGGGGGCACAGAAAACTTCAGTCTCATTGTTCAGTGTGATCTGCCTTGACCCAAGGCATCTGAATTTATGGAAGTGTGAAATACATGCACACAATCCAAGCCCCACCCAAGACGTACATTCGGAAGCAAGAATTCTTGTGTGGTTCATATGCACTTTATTTTACTTTTTAGATAAGGTCCCACTATGTAGTTCAGGCTGGCCTTGAATTCACTGTGTAACCCAGGCTGTCCTCGAACTTTCAGAGATCCTTTTGCTTCAGCTTCCCAAGTGCTGGGATTATAGGCATGTGCCACCACAGCCAGCTCATACACACTTTAAACACTGGTCTACAAAATAGTGTGATCCTGAGGAAGTATTTTCCTTCTTGAGCATATTTAAATTTAAGACAGGGTACTTGTGAAGAATCACTGTGTAGTATTGGTAGTCCAAGGTGGGTCAGTACACACTTCCAGTTCTGAGTAAGTTGTATGTAATCCTTATCTGTCCTCTTAAACACCTTAACATGTCACTTTAGCTTTCTTCATTTCTTGAAAAGCCAGCTCTAAGTGCCAAGAATACCAAAACCTTCAAAGGAACCCAGGTGGTGTCTCGCCTCTGTACATACTTAGGCTGTGTCCCTCTGAGGCCTGAGCAAGATGGGGTGGGAAGCTGCACTGGGAACAAGAGTTAATGATGAAACTCAAGACTGTGGTGGCCAAAGTGGGGTTGAACTCTCATGAGCACAGAAGGCTAGAGAAGGGCAAGGTAGGAAAATGTCAAGTGGTGTGGGTGTTGGCCCCCTTCTCGAAGCCTCAGTGCCTCAACAGCTAAGACTGAAGCTTCCTACCCAAAAGCTGAGATTTGCTTTCCAAGGGAAAAGTGGGTCTGGCTTTATTTTTCTCCCAGAAAATCGCCTTGGGTTGAGTCTGTGACAGCGGGTCACCAACCTGCCCCACCCAGGGCCGCCGGCGCTGGTTCTTGCCCGTGGCGCCCTGGTGGAGGTCGCAGCTGGTGCCCTCTGAAGCCTGCGCGTTCAGCCCGCTTTCTTTCTCGCGGGGCGGTGCAGTTTCGGCTAGGCGCTGACCGCTGGGTCCAACGCGCAGCTCTAACTTGCACCACGGCCGCCAATCGGCGAATCTGGTAAAGGCCTACTCCGACCATGCCCAGGACCCACCCAGTGTCCTCAGGGCCTTGCTCCCTTAAGGGAGCCGCGTGCTCTCGAAGGCGGAGACCGCCCGTGAGTCGGCCACCTCGCTGGACTGCTTGGAGCCTTGGCATTGCGCTCCTCCTCCTCCTCCTCCTCCTCCTC